TGGGCTAACAAATTGTCGAAAAGATTTGTAACTGGCCAAGCAGCTCAGTCAACTCTGAGCTACAGCTTAGAAACTATGACGCGATGCAAGTGTTTGACTGCGTTAGCAAAATAAATAATAATAAAAAATATATGTATATATATGTGTGTGTATAAGAGACCGTAGGTCGACAACAACAACAACAAGTTTTTAAAAACCGGCTCCAAGTTACTCGGAAAACAATCTACGTATGAGCCACATATCGTCAAAAAGCTGGCAGAACAACAAAATCAACAACAGAACCCGCAAGTGTTTGCTTATTGCAAAATACATAGCAATAATAAAAGAAAAGGGACAGCAAGACAAACAGACAGACACTGAGAGAGAGAGAGAGAGATAGAGAGAAAGCGAGCGAGAGACAAAGAACAACGCTTACTTCAAGTACAAAGTTAACAATTTACACAGGCGCCGAATTTCGCAGAAATCAGTTTTGTGTTGGATCTGTTTTAGCTATACCCTGTAAGACATAGACTGAGAAGGCATGTCTAGCAGACAGAGAGAGCTGTGAGAGCCATTAAACAGCTAGACATTAGACAGCTTGTCGCTCAGCATCAACTCTGCCTTGAACTTTACGAAGTGTAGATCCATGAGAGTAAAGCTCTTATAATACTTTAGGCTTCATAAACAATCGATAAATATCGATATGTGCATATCTTAGCATTTAAAAAGCATAATTATAATATAATAATAAATTCAGATAAAGAAAGAAGCAAGGAAGCTAAATAAAACTAATTCCATGTTAGCTGATCTCTGTTTACAGGGTAATGCCTAGTCTATCAGCCTGCACTGGCTCGTTTTCTTCGACAAAGTTCATCAAATTTTGGCATTAATTAACACGATTTAGTCTGGGGCTGATGATTTTAACTACTTAACCTGTTTGCAGAGCCACGCAATAGGCCAACCCATCCACATAGATAGACGCAGAGCAAGGCTACGACTCCAAAGCTGAGCCAAGTTTACATTACATTTATTTTTCACAGTCTAGTTAAGCTTGCCACAGAGCAAATGTGTTAAGCCTAACTGAATGTAAAATGGTAACAAACTTGGGCATCTACTCAACTAGTTCAAGATCAAATGCAGTAGATCTTTGACTACGTTTAGTGGCTGCCTCCATTTTAGCTGTTTGTTGCTTTAGTTGCTGTTGCCAAGTTTCTAGCTGGCGACTTGAGTCGGAGAAGTCTGGCCTAAGCTCAAAGCGAATACGTCTAAATTGCCAACGACCCCGTTGTGACCACATTAGAAAGTGTATTTGGTATAGATAAATAGATAAATGTGTATATAGACATCTACGTATATATGCATAGTCAAAGCTCAAGTTTAAAGCTGATGATAGTAGAGCAAAGATTTGCTACTAAGTTAGCTTAGAGGAAGGGAGAGGGACAGAGAGCGTGGGGAAAGAGACAGCTAGAGGCGAAGAATATTTCCAACAAACTATTAAAGGGAGAGAGTGAGGGAGACAGAAAAAGAGAGAGAGAGAGGGGGGGGAGAGAGAGAGAGAAAGAGAGTGAGAGATAGAGAGAGAGAGAGAGAGAGAGAGAGAGAGAGAGAGAGAGAGAAAGAGAGAGAGAGAGAGAAAGAGAGAGAGAAAGAGAGAGTGAAAATCAAAGAGAGAGAGAGGGAGAATCAAAGAGAGTGAAAGAGACATAGAGAGAGAGAGAGAAAAATTGAGAGAGAGCGAGAGAGAGAGAGAGAATCAAAGAGAGTGAAAGAGACATAGAGAGAGAGAAAAATTGAGAGAGAGAGAGAGAGAGAGAGAGAAAGAAAGATTGAGGGAGAGAAAGAGAGACACAGAGAAATAGAATCAATGACAGGAAAGAGACATGACGAAGGAAAGCTAGATTGAGATAGAGACAGAGGGAGAGAGAGTGAAAGAGCGAGATGGAAAGAAAACATCTATAGGCGAAGATGCAATGGACATTTCGGAAGTTATCAATGTAAATCTACAAATTTTAGCTAAATATTATAATAAGCATCATCATTATTACTATTATCAAGCATCATTATCTATGCCATCACAATTATGATTATTAGTATGATACTCATTATCCTTATCATTATCATTCTGATTTTCATTAGCCTTATCATAATCATTATCATTATGACACTCATTATCATTGTCATCAGCATTTTGATTCTTATTTATCATTAGATTCTCCTTTTCAACTTCATTAACAATATATGATAATGATATTGATATGCTATAATAGATGATCATCAGTAATATCATTATTATTATTTACAAGCCTTATTTATTATCCAGTAGATATGCCATTCGCCTAAGATACTAATAACTTTATAAATGTTTCCGCTTTTAGGCCAATATATAATTATTAATTTCTCGAAGATCTTGAATCTTGGACTTGAAGTTTCCATTGTTTAAGAAGAGTTTTAGTATCTAAATATTACTTGAGCATTTTGATATTTTTAAAGATGAGCGGAAATCGTTTTTGTTATGTTTGAGTGACACGTCAAGAGTTGCGGCCACGAAGGTGTCTTATAAAAAAATTATCGGATGTGGGTTTACGAAATTAAACGAATTTGAGCGCAAACAATGCGAAAAATACATTTATAATAATTCCACGAAAGGTTGTAGTTCAATTACCTTTAAGCATTGTGTCCCATGAACAAATCCGCTTCTGAGAATTTCGAATAATTAAAGTCAATTGAGAAACGTTTTCGTTCAGGGAATGCCCCTAACATAGAATATATCTACATAAATTGCATAACACATAGTTCCAATCGATTGCAAACAGCCTGAGTCTGGCGTCTTACGCAAGAAACGTCATTTAAGGGAATACCACTAATAAAAAATAAATTAAAGGAATGCCCTCAATGTAGCTGCTAGTTAATTGCTTGTAAATGAGCCTATGGATTATGCATTCATTGAATAACTTTGAATGAATCGAGCGATCGATCGACTCAACTTATTATTCGAGCAATCAAACAACAATCTAATAGAAAAATACATATATATATTATAATCGTATAATATCTATGATTCATTTAGCTCCAATAAACATACTTATTTGGCTTAAATCATTTATGCCCTCATCCATATGTATATAAAAGCACAGATATCCGTATTTCGCTTGATGCCACAGCTTAAAAAGGCGCACAAACAAATCAACTGTTGACGTCATGCCATATATCTATATAGACATACATGCTATATCTATAATATATATGCCGTTACGCGTAGAACTCTGGAAAGCCAAATAGGGCCACACAACAAGCGCATCTGCTTTCTAACCAACCCCCACAGAATATGGTCGGGCAGTCAAATTGAGTCGCATGCTCGTCACGTAACGCTCATCCATTGTCATGCACAGTTAGTCAGCCGAGAGACCCAATAACTCCGACACTTACGACGCTCAATATTGACCAAAAATTTCAACATTGTTTACATAAAAATATTGCAAGTATTGAAAGAGAAGTTTAAGAAAAATATGAATAAAACAATTTGGGGCAAATTTAAGAAATGCATTAAAAACTATAATTAAAATAACTTTTATTAAATTTAAAATAAAAATATATTAAACACATTAAAAACCATTACATAAAAAAGGATTTTAAAATTTAAAATAAAATATTAAAACAATAAAAAATACTTAAAAAAAACCATTTTGTTAATAAAAAAAATTTATATATTTAATTAAAAAATTAATTTAAAAAAAAAATAAAACAAAAAAATAACTTTCAAATATAAATTACTATATAAATCTAGAAAATAAAACAATTAAAATTCCATATAAAAATATTTCGAAAAACGTTAAATATTTTTTAAAAATAAAAACAAATATACAACTCTAATTTAAAAAAAACTGAAAAAATACACTATAGAATATAATTAGTATTCAAATTTATTTTACTATAAAGTTAAAGCTTTATCGATTGATTTATGAAATATTTATATGAAAAAAAATATATATATAATAATCTTAAAAACTAGATTTAAAAGGCTTAAAAGAAAGTTGAAGAAAGCCAAAGCTGAAGTTTAGCTTGGCAAAATCAAAAGTTAAAAACAAATTGACCAAAAGTTAACAGGAAATATGTCACTTAGCTCAGCATGATAAATATTTATAAAAAAAAATATTATTTAATAACAAAGTTAAGTATGTTAAATATTTAGAGTTTTAATAAAGCCAAAGCATTAAAGCCAGCCATAATTAATGATCAAATAAAATTGCGCGAACCAAGTCGATTTCATGTGAATGTGCATATATATAGATATATATATATATATATATATATATATATATATATATATATATATATAACTGAATGAATGTGTTTTTGCATGTGCGTTCCACATATTTATTTTTGTTAATGGCCCTGCAACTATAATATATATATATACTACAATATCAATATATATATATATATATATATATATATATATATATAGTTGTTGCTCAAGGCAACTGGGCGGCAATGTTGCCGCGGGTCAAAAAGATTTTCGACTTCGAAATAAATGATAATTAACAATTTACACAACAAGCTTTATATTTGTTTTCTCTCTCCCCCGCCCTTCCTCTCTCTCTCTCACTCTCCCCCTGCTCTACTCTATCTATTTTTACCTTGTCTGTGCGCTTATTGACTTGATCTTAACTTTTTTACATACAACAGCCATAAATAATGAAAAACTGAAATTGGCTAGGCAAAGAAATTTTTGGACTTGGACACTTTGGACATGAATCAGTTGTTAGCACAATTCATAGAGAAAAATAAATAATATTCGCCTGGAATGACGCAAATTGTTGGCGTCGCAGCTCATGATCTGCCCCTAACTGGGGATGAGCGCGTGTCGCTCGCATGACAAACTCAGCTGAGCTTGCAGATGCCACAGATCTTCACTCTTTACTCCTTACACTGCACGAAAAGCACAGGCAAATCAAACCGAACCAAATTTCTAATAAAAACGTAAAATTTCATTTTGTTATTTTCATAAATTAAAATTCATTTATTAGTTAATTTTATATTATTTTAGACTTATTTATTTTGTTTGCTTTAGAGCTTCGTCTCGTTTCGTGTTCGTGTCACGCGCTCAGCTCTAGCTGTAGCTGGATCAGTCGAGTGTTCGATCTAACGCCATGGAATCTTGATTGGCGAGCGATTGCGTTGCCGTGCGGGGGCGACTCGTGGCATTGGCTGCGGCGACGACTGCTGCTGGTATTGCTGTTCGCGACGCCCCCAATTGCCACCCACGCCCCCAGAACTTTGCCTAGAGCTGGACAGGGGTCGCACAGAGACTGGCACAGGTGCATTATAGTGGCCGCCAAAGTAGGTGGGCGTTGGCGGCTGTCGGCTGCTCGGCTTGCTGCCGTACAGCTGTACGCGGGTGGGTGCACGTCCTCGCGCGGGCGCCGGCGACAGTTTGCCCTGCTCGCTGCCAATGTGCACCAGAGTTTGATAGCGCCCGCTGCGCTGCTGCGGCGACTGTTGCTGCGGCTGCTGCTGTTGTTGCTGCTGACTTTGTTGCCGCCATTTGCTCGCCGGCGGCGTTTGCCTGGCCAGGCTGCTCGCCAGCAGCCGCTGTGCGTAATACTCCGTGGTGGGCATGGGCTTGGCCACGCCCACTGGCACCAGCCTGCCCGGCGAGTGTGGCAATATGGAATTCTTGATCTCGATGCGTATGGCTGAGGAGGGCGGCGTGGGCGACGGCGACATACGACGCAGCATGGGCTGGGCCACACGAAAGGTCTCGTTGCGCTTGACGGGCGAACGGGTGGCCGAGCGCGAGGGTCGGTCGCGCAGCGGCGAACGCGATTGCGGCCGATAGTTATCGTTATCGAAGACCAGAAAGTCTGGACGATTCTCCTTGGAGGCGCTGCGTTGGCTACTGGCCTGCGGCGCAGCGGCCGGCGGGGGCACCTCGACGAACCAGGCGGGATTGTGTGGCTGCTGTTGCTGCTGCTGCAGCAGGCGATCGCGAAACGATTTGCGGAAGCTGTTTAGGGTGACCGTTTTGTATTTATCGCGCTCCTCCTCCTCGAGCAAATCGTCATTCGAGTGGGTTTTCAGCTGCTCCAACTGCTCACGCAGATGCGTTGGCGTCTTGCTCTTGCGATAGGTGCTCGAATCGAAGCTGCCGCTGGAGCTGGAGCCCAGACTCGGCTGCCGTTGCATGCCGCTCGCTGCGGCATCCGCAGACGTCGCCGCCTGCTTGCCCTTGCCCTGCTGCTCGTACAGAAAGTTGAACGGATCTGCATGCGCATCGTAGTCGAGCATGCGATCGCCGTCGTTGCGCCATTTGTAATAGGTATTTGTGGCCGTGTCGCTTGGATGGTGCTCATAGCTGGCCAGCTCCTCGGGCGAGGGCTGCTTCTTGCGTTTCGTGAACGTGCTAAATTTGCTAAACACCTTCGACTTCTTCGACTTCTTTTCCAGCGTGCTGCTGTTGGACTCGTTGCCTCGCTGCTGCTGCTCCTCCTCATCGGAGCCATTCAGTATGAAGGTGTCGCCGCGCTGTAAGCCTGAGCTCGTTGTGGAATCCCTTCGCGAGCTAATCACACTCGCTGGCCGAGAACTGCAGCTGCGCACGGGCGTCGTATCGCGCGATGAACTCTTTCTGGACGAGGCCAGCGTGGAGCGTATGTTGCGAAAAAATGACATTGTACTTTCAGCTCGTGCCGGGGTTTCAGCCCGCGCAAAGTCTACACTCTACAAGCGAAAAAGTCGCGACGCGGAACGAGTCTTCGGTTCGGTCTGGCTCAGCCAACTGCCACGGAGCAACTGGCTGAATCGGCTCAGCCATTACGCGGATCACTAGAATTTCTGCGGCAGTCGGGTTTCATACTTCGTTTCATTTCGTTTCGCGCTCGGCGCTGTTTTTCCACTTTTGTTTTGACCAATTTGGCGTATACTTAACGTCATTATCGTGCTTATTATTATGGCCACATTTCGAGTGGCTATACTTCGCTCTCTCTCTCTGTGTGTGTGTGCCTCGATCAGCAGCTGTTGGTGTGGGCGTTACATATCCAAAATAACCAAAACTTGTTTCTGTGCCCAAATCTCAGCTCAGATGCTTTATTTCGTAATTTATGCAAGCAGAAAGCGCTCTAATTAGTTATCTGATGCAAAGCATCAACAGCTCATTTACCACAAGTGCAACAACAATAACAACAACAGCTGCAACAACAGCAACACCTTAGCTGTATTTAGGGTCTTTGTTTACTTGTGTGAAGTGCGAACTAAAGCAAAGTTAAATGTATGACAAAACACTGCACAGTGGTTCGAGCTGGTTGAACAGACTGTGAAATATGTTTTTGTATATAATATGTCTCAAAGATATTTTAGTATTTAGCAGAGAGAAGTAAAAGCAATAAAAGGCAGATAAGAAAGAGAGAGAGACATATAAGAAGAGACAGATAAAGAATGAGTGAGAGACAGAGACAGAGGAAGACAGAGTCAGACAGATTCAAAGAGAGTGAGACAGAGACATATTAAAAGAGAGAGTGGAATAAAGAGCGAGAGAGATGTATAAGAAAAGAGATGTATAAAGAAAGAGAGAGACATACAAGTAGAGACAGATAGAGGGTAAAAAGACACGGAAAGAGACAGATAAAGAAAAAGAGTGAGAGACAGAGACAGAGGAAGACAAAGTCAGACAGTGTCAAAGAGAGTGAGACAGAGACATATTAAAAGAGAGATTGGAATAAAGAGCGAGATATATGTATAAGAAAAGAGACATGAATAAGTAAGCGAGAGTGAGAAAGTAGGAAAAAAAATCAGAGAGAAAGAAGTAGAACACAAAATTGAGTGTGACAATAAGTTAGATATACATATCTGAATGTCTATTATAATTTATACCAGTTGGTATAACATAGCGATTTTTTATTTTATTTTTTTAAATTTATTCATTTCACTTGATTAAACAAAATATATCCCACTGTGGCACAAACACAAAAACAAACTACACAATTTATTCGGTGCATTAATTTGATACTTTAGATTTGTCTCGATGATTACTATAATTTGTTATAATAATCACTTTGGCGCACAACATTGCCACACTGTGCCGCGTTCTGGTCTACACTTATCGCTGGCTTTTGATGCTAGACGCTTCATTGTTCGCCTTAATGAGTGATTGAGTTTAGTGTGAGCACACGTTTGTCTGCCATTCGATTTGTTTCGCTTCCGATTCCGCAAACAACAACAGCAACAAAGGCAACAACAGCAACAGAAAAGCCAAATAAACAGCTTATAGCAGTCATTAGATTGTATCTTCAGAGAGGCGAGTGCTAAATGCAGCAGCTGTTTGTATTTAATTATTAATGCTGATGATTAAGCAGATTAAGTACACCTGTTTCAGTCCCACATGAATATTAATGCCTATAGAAGACATTAAATTACGCCAATTCGCTGACCAGCAGCAAAATATTTATTTATTTATTCGCATTTGCAGCTCTTCGATAAGTCGATCTCATATCAAATTTATCGTTGCCTGCTTTTAGGCGCGCGCTTTTGGCCCGACCACAACGGCCCCAAAGTAGGCAATGTAATTCGAAATGTTAAGCGTGAAATGGAAAATGGGAAATGGCAAACGGAGGCCAGCTGCCATTAGAAAAATCAAGTCATCTACACACTCGAGCAATCTGAGAATCACAGCGGGCGCTGCGATACAAGTTCACGCCATTTGCAGAGCCATAACACGCACACGCATATCCCAAAAAAGGGAGCAGGCTCACACACGCACACACAATAGCGCTTACAAATATGTAAAGAGCGAGGTGTGTTTAAGAAACATGCATTTTTGACTGCGTAACAAAAGGATATGCCACAGAAAGTAAATTCAAACTATTTTCAAAGAAGGTCGGCGCCTAAGCGAAGCTAAAAATAGACAAGTTCAAAAGAAAGAGAGCTCAAGTCATGCGCAAAATTAATATGAAAATAAAACTTAAAAAAAAAATGAATAATGAAATAAATGAAAAAATAAATGCTTTAAAAAATATTATATGAAATTTAAAAAAATTAAATTTTTTCACAAACTTTTAAATCAAATTTCTAACAAAAGCTAATCTTACCAAGATTTCTATAAAATTCTACTATCCATTTTCTATTCAATTTATAGTCACTTTTTATTAAATTTAGTTATATCTATAAAAAAAAACTATTTTTTATATTCAATACAAATCACAACTCAGCTACTTCACAAGCCTTACAAAATTTTTTAATAACTAAAGTAATTGGAAATTATTTAAAAAAATAAAATCTTAATAAATGCAGTTAAAAAGTTGTTTCCCTTGAATAAAAATTGCAAAATACTACTAGAAGTTAGAAAGCATTCAACAACTGCCCCAACTTCCAACCACAACTTTCGATGCAACCCACAATTGAATAAAAATTTCTTCAATTTGTGGCTCTTGCCACATGCCTCACGCAGTTCATGCCTCACGCAGCAGTGGGTCAAAAAAGCGCGCAGCCAAAGAAATAATACGAAAGGCCAAATGTGTTTATTACGAAGCACAACGGAGTGCAATCAAAATTGTTTATGCGAATATTTCAAATGTTTGTTGAATTATTTAAAATTAAAAAAAAAAATGAGGTTTTCCTCAAATCAGCTGAAACAATAAATAAAAACACAAATAATTTTGCTTAAATGAACAGAAAAATATTGATTGATCGAAAACGAAATGCAATAAATTAAAACATCGATAAACATGTATTAGGTAAACAGTCAGACATTTATATATATATATATATATATATATATATATATATATATATATATATATATATATATCTTTATTTATTTGTATATTTTATTTATCCCAAAATGTGGCCAATTTTCGTGGAATGGCCCCATCAACTGAACAACAAACAACAAAATCTTTTTTTGATTGCTTTCTTCTATTTATTTTACAATACACAACAAGAATGTATCTTGTTATCCCTTGAGATAGAATTGTATCTGCTCGAATCGGCAATGATTGGGCCCCAATGAACATTTGACACATTCGAAATGCATTTTGCCCACACAAGACAGACGCACATGTGACGACCATTCACGCTGGCGTCTGCCATTATTTATCAGCTATTAAGTCATACCCAGGCGCACACACACACCCACCCACACATGGATACATTTGACAGCTGCTGGTGCCAATGTCAGCTAACAAAAGGCAGCACATAGTCTCCCATTCATGCCACAACAACAATCGCAAATAAGCCAAATCATGGGTGGTGTTGAAATTGAAAATTGTGAATTGTATATTGTGAATATTGTCTCCATTGTTGCTGCTGTTGCTGTTGTTGCTGCAGTTATATATATCGTGCTTTTGTATTTATCTGTGTTGATATTTATGTGCACATTTAGCACAATTAAAAATTAACACACACACACACAGACATACACACATGCATATGGCCTGCCAATGACATGCCCACACACTCTGGCACACACGCACAACAATGCTAGAAATGAAGCAATAAATGAAACCAAAAAAATCAAACACATGCCACATGGACAATGCGCTGCCCCTGCCCCTGCCGCTGCCTCTACCCCTTGCCCCTCTTTTACAGTCACCACTTTCCATGCTCCAAGGAAGGGGGCGAGCGTGTTTTTACAGTTATGAGCAGCGGGCACAGCTGGTCAAGCAGCCAGCCAGCCAGCCAGAGCTAGTCAGCTACACAATCAGTCGGTCTCCATGGGGCCACCACTGAGGCCGCAGCCACAGATACTGCCTACGACTCGGACTCGGACTTGGACAACAGCAACAGCAACAGCAATAAACGTGACCGGTTGCCGGCACTGCACGTAGCCTCAGCGAGCCGGCGCACAAAATAGACTCGCACATAGAGATAGTTGCAAGCGAGGGTAGCTTAAGCAATTGGCATGATAATAATAATTAAAGTACTAAAATTATGAGCACATGATACTGATAATGATGACAGATGACAAAGTTATTTAGGGCAGTTTGAATAAAGGCCCGATATGGATATAATGTTGCCTTAGCTGAAGACCTAACGAAAAATAATTTGATTAAAATATATTGATACTGATCTGTTACCAATATAAAGCAGACAAGACTCCATTTATAAATAATAAAAGCCAAATGTTTAGCATAAAAAGTCAGAAGAGACTCACACTATTATATACATATAAACTTTCAAATTCAAGAGCATATATAGAGTATTATATTTATAACTATTTCAATAACATGTCACTTCAGAATATTAAAAAAAAAAATATTTTACTTTCATAAGATTTCATATATAAAAAGTTCGATTAAATTTAGCCAAGTTATATATATGTATTATGTTTTTATTTTCATTCTTATACATCTTATATTTTATCTTACATACGTCTTATACATATCTATTTATCTTCTATCCCTATCCCCGAACTCATCAAGCCACCCTCTTGCCACTTACACACACACCTCTTATCTACATAGGTGCCAAGTGGCACGCATGACGAGTGGCTTGCAGCGCTCTATGGCCACATGGAGCAGGGGGCAACACACGGACAGGTTGGGTTAGCCTCAGGACGTGCCTCATGACTGTTTTATTTGAATTTT